GGGGGGGTCTGGTGACAGCGAGCTGAGGGGATTTTTAAGAAATGAAACCCAGCGTAGAGACTGGAGGTTTTTCTCTTTAAAACTTGCTATTAGTGTCAAAACTGTTATTAACATTAATTTACCGTATCAGCCAGACTTAGACATTACTTTTTTTCTGTTGACATTAAAAGTACAGGAATAGTTACAAGGATGTTAAACGCCAAGATAAGTAATTTGCTTTTCATGAATATGCTATTATTATAATAATTCTTTATTTGTGCATTTGGGACTGGAACTCGTTTCTTAAAATAGAGGATCTGCATTATGTGAAAATACAGTACTGATACAAATAACCCAAACTTGAAAAGGCAGAAAATAGGATTTAAGGCACAAAATTCGGTATAACAGGAGTGGTAGGAGGCGTAGTATTTAGCTGATAGTGGGTACACCATAAATGTTTCTGGATCGAATGAATAGATGGGTGGATGTGTAATGAAGACCTAGTCATAGAACCTTCCAGCATTTGCAAAGGATATGCTGAGGCTTGAAACTTCTGTATCTGTATCGATCTACATTGATCTGATACAAAGCTTGGTTCCAACTTGATATTTGGTGGATGACATTTAGCAGGCAGACTTGGTTTGGTTGGCTCTCAACAATGTTTTAAAATTTCTTTTAGGGAGAGCACGAACTCTCTGGTTGCGGTGTTCATGCCACTCCCCGTTGTTCCTCCCTGATACCTCCTCTAACCTGACTCACACATTTATGCTGCCCACCTGTCTTCAGGGAATAGTTGTGTTTGTTCCTCACGGTGTAGAGTCTTTAGGTCTCCCCAAGTAACCTCATGTTTGATATCAAAACCACAATACAAAATATAAACCCTTGTATTCCATCTGAGTGGTGGTAGTGATCATGGTGATGATGTTGTTACGTCTAGAAGCTGTATAGTAGGTTAAACTCTTTTTCCAAAGTCCTTTAGAGGATTCTATAGCCATTTTAGCCACATAAGAAGGTACTTATTATAGCTGTGTTATAAAGAAACAAAGGCCTGGGAAAATTGTGAAACTTTCCTGTGGTCTCACAGGACTTTGGAGCTACTGGGACAGAGCCTGGGGCCAAGCCTCTTTCCCCAGCCAGCACTGTGTCCTTTGTGATAGGAATGTCTACAGGATGCAGTCACTTTGCTTCACTTCAGGGTGTGGCATTGTGGAGAAACTGAAGCCTACTAAAACCTCTCAAGGCTCTGTGGCAAAGCCAGTTGCCAAAATGGTACTTTAGGCCAGGTCATAAAATTCAGGAAAGGTACTGGCAGCCTTCTTCATAAGCAAAGATCACGGTGTCCATGGCTGTATGCGTTATCTATTGGCGTGTAACGAATTACCCCAAAATTCAGTGACTTAAAAACAACAAACATTCCTTATCTCACATTTTGTGAAGGTCAGGAACCAGGAAGCAGCTTAGCTAGATGGTTGTGACTCAGGGTCTCATGAAGTTGCGGTCAAGACATCAGCTGGAGCTGCAGCCATCTAGGTAGGGCTAGAAGGTTCTCTTTCACACTCACTCATGTGACTTAGCTGGCCTCAGTCCCACACCACATGGGCCATTCCACAAGACTGCCCAAGTGTCCTCATGACACAACAGCTTCCTTCTCCCAGAGTGAGTGACAAAGAGTGACTAAGACAAAAGCTATAGTCTTTAAAATTTTGTTTTAGAAATTTTTCAATAACAGTTGACATACGATATTAGTTTCAGGTGTATGACAGTGATTAGATATTTCTATGCCCTACAAAGTGATTGCCACAATAAGTCTCGTGCCCATTCAACACCAGTTTTTTCAGTATTCCTAACTATTCCGTGTGCTGTACCCTTCATCCTCGCGACTACTTTTATAATTGGCGATTTACACTTACTAATCCCTTCCACCTTTTTTCTCCTATCCTCCATCTGGCAGCCATCAATTTGTTCTCTGAATCTGTGAGTTTGTTTCTGTTCTCTTTGCTAGCTGGGTTGGGGGAGGGCTCAACAAAGGAGAGAGCTGTCCCGCCCCCTGCCCCTCCAGCCCCGTCCTGAAGCTAGTCCATTCAGCTCCTCCCATATGGCCCTGTCACCTGGTGAGCTGCTGCCCCCGCACTGGAGCCCAGAGCAAGTGAGCTTGTGAGTGAGTGAGTCCATGCACAGGCCCCTCAAGAGGATGCCTCCGTCTCCAGTAGCCCTCTGCCCCACGCGGACACAACCTCCTCTGGCTTTCGCAGCCAGATGTTATGGGGACTCCTCTGGCCAGCACTGGAACCCTGGGCTGGGGAGCCCTTGCTCCTCAGGGGGTACCTCTGCAGCTAAGGTATCCCTCCTCCTTCCCAATTTTTTTATTGAATGTATTGGGGTTACATTGGTTAATAAAATTATATAGGTTTAAGGTATACAATTCTGTAACACATCATCTTTATACTGTATTGTGTGCTCACCATGCCAAGTCACACCATGGGTGTGGGACCTGCCAATTCCACATCTCCACCCTCTTGATTACATTATTTTCTCTTGTACTTGATTAATCTGGTGTTTTGCTGTGACATGCTGTGCACAGGCCCGAAGCCTAGGAGCAATAGGCTATACCATAGCACCTAGGTGTAGTAGGCTAGACCATCTAGGTTTGGATAACTGCACTCTGGGATACATGACTGTATGTGCTTAATTCTTGCAACCAGTCTTGACTCATGCTTGAAAGATAGCTTGTAACCCAAGCAGAGCTACAAAGGGAAGCCTTCCCAACAGAGATTTGGTATTGCTTCTCTTTGAATGGGGTGTTCTCTTTGAAAGACACTCTATATCAAAGGAGGGGCTTTAAAGAAGCTAAATTTTGAAGCT